AGAAGTTGTAGAGAGTTGTTTTTTAGGCAATTAAAACTCACCGTGGTTCCTCCATCTCATTTCCACCCTTACCAACACTTCCTGCCACCTTCCCCCTGTATGAGGCCTAGAAAAGCTTTGCACGTCCCAATTATAAGCTGAGAGCGAATGTGTCACATTCAGCATACTGAGTGGGTTTGGGAAGTCGATTTCTTCTGAGTCGCCGTCTCTGGTTCCCTTGGCGTGACATGGAGGGGCTTTGGTTGAGGTTCAGAATGAGGCTGCTAAGTCCCCGCTTAATAAGCGGAGGTGGGGGTAGGTAATTCTCTCGTATTATTTGTATTTTAACTTTTCTGTCTATTTTGATGTTTTGACACCTTAACACGCTATCTGGCTGGGGAGAGCCTGCCCCTTCCAGGGCTAGCCAATTCTTAGAGTCAGCCGAGGGCTCAGCCTGGGGAGGGCCACTGATGTGTGGACTTCAGGTCAGAGCCACCTTGCCTCCCCTGGCCCCAGCACCCCAGGAGGCAATATTCCTCTGCCTGAAGCATCCCGGGCCAGGTACAGGCGCTGAGGGACCCACTCCTATAGCCTAGCAGCCCAGAAGTTATTCAGGCTAGCTGCTCCTGAACGGTTAACCCTTCCCTGCCTTGCCTTTCCTGTGGGAGCTCTGATAAAGGTCGTGGGCTGGGCTCTCCCCTCCCGCCACTTGTCTCCTGGATGATGCCGGTTCTTTGCCACGTGGCCCTGTGTGCCGTGCCGTGCGTCCTGTGTCCCGCACCTGTGAATATACGAGACTCTGTTTGCCTGAGCCTCTTCTGTGTCTCCTCTTGCGGCTGCACCCGACTGGCCGTCACCTCAAAGAACACAGAGCATCTGTGAAACACCTTTCTGCTTTCTATACAGGTCATTGTCTTTGGTCTCAAAGATTAGATTACAGTTGGGCAGTATTTTCCTTAGTGTCTCTCTGCCTTTTCCTCACACATCCAGGAAGGGACTGAGACAGGAGGGAAAAGGCATGTCCATGTGCTCAGGGGAGGCATCCCTGGGAACTCTGCCCAGAGCCCCTTTCCCTGGAAGACTCCCCTACGTCTTGCTTTTTCACCAGTGCACTGAGTGAGGAGGTGATGCTGCTAGCTGTCCTGCTGTCTTTTCTACCTTCCATAGACTTCTCAGCTTCTACCTGCTGGGCTAGAGAGGTACGGGGCGTGGGGAAGCAAGATGCAAGGTTGGCCACCTAGGAAATGTGAACACCACAGAGGGAATGGCTCTGGTTAATAGCGCGAGGTTTCAGAGTGTGCCGGGAGTGTGTGAACTGTAGGATATACGAATACTGATGTGATGGCTATGAGTTTTATTCTATCAAGGTATTACTATGTGCTGAAGTGTGGCTTGTTTGACTTAGAATATGTGACCTTGTGGTTCTCAAGCTTGGATGCTTTTATCCTTCAGGCTCAGGGCTGAT